ATATAAAATATATATATATATATATATATATATATAACATATATATATATATATACATATATATATATATATATATATATATATATATATAGTAAGTTAGGGTGGAGAAGAGGAAGAGGAAGAGGAGGGCCAGAGAGTGGTGGTGATTCATAAGGTCTTGAATGTTGTTGTTTATGACTTTTGACTCTGTTTGTGAAAGACAACATTCTCAAGAACGTGTGTCTTATTGTGCGTAAAGATTGTCTTTCAAGATTCAAGTTTATGTTTTTTTCTACTGCTACTATTAGAGAAATGTCTCCATAAATGACGAGTGGACTGTAGTACAATGCATTAGTAGATGAGGCCCTTGTGTAGGTGATGTCTCTCCTCATCATGGAAACATTATTTTTTTCACTACATCATATGACTCTGCCCTCAAGAAAAAGGGAAATTTACCACTAAACCACAATGGTTTAACATTTATATCAAGATCCATAATGTAAAGGTCATATGAGGTAAATATACGGATGCACAAAAAACACCCCAAGCTGTCGAAACGCAAGAATGAATCGGTGATTTTTGTTTTCCAAATATATATATTATACATAGCCAAAATCCGTTGTAGTCTAGGTGGTTAGGATACTCGGCTCTCACCCGAGAGACCCGGGTTCAAGTCCCGGCAACGGAACAATCCCTTTTTGCCTTTTGCCGTCCGTACCCATCGAGGACATTTCCGTCATTTGGCATTCGTTAGAAAAAACCCTAGCTTCCCCTCTCTTATATTTCTCACTTTTCTTCCCATCGTCCCTTCTCGTATCGATCTTTAGAGATGGTATCTTTCTCGTTCTTCTCATTCTTCTCATTCTTCTTCCGTTAGATCCTTCCATTGTTGATTTCTTTTTTCATTATTGTTTTTGTTTTCCGGTGATGCAGGCGTCGGAGAAGAAGCTCTCAAACCCCATGAGGGACATTAAGGTTCAGAAGCTCGTCCTCAACATCTCCGTCGGTGAGAGTGGAGATCGTCTCACCCGTGCCGCCAAGGTCCGTTTGTTTCCCGAGAAAATCACTGACTCGGAAATCAGAGAACATAGAAAAAAAATTCGTTACTTTTCCCATTAGTTATATATACCTCTAAACGCACGGACTGTAGACTATGTTTCCCTTAATCTCTTAGCAGTTCCTATTACCGCGTAGATTTGTTTGTCTCTCGAGAAAATTGCAGATAATGAGAAAAAAGAGTACAGCTTTCTGTTTACCCACTTGCTCACACGATCTAAAGTCCCTGTTTCTGGTCGTTGTAGGTCCTGGAGCAACTCAGTGGTCAAACCCCAGTCTTCTCCAAGGGTAAGTGGACGCTCACCATGATTATTATTCTTTACTCGGATTCATGATTAGGTTGGTGTTATTTTGCTGCCATTGTTATCTGGGTGGTGATACATATATTATCCTTGTCTGAAACAGCGAGGTACACTGTGAGATCATTCGGTATAAGGCGTAATGAGAAGATTGCGTGCTATGTGACTGTGAGGGGTGAGAAGGCGATGCAGCTCCTTGAGAGTGGCTTGAAAGTGAAGGAGTACGAGTTGCTGAGGAGGAACTTCAGTGACACTGGCTGCTTCGGGTTCGGTATCCAGGAACATATTGATCTCGGGATCAAGTAAGTTTTTTTTAACGTAGTGGTTGGATTTCAGATAAAGAGAATGGCTGGTTGATGTTGTGGCATTGATGATTACTGTGAAATGGGTTCTGGTGCTGAATTTCTTGATGGAAAGATATCTAGATGCTGAACAAATTTCTATTGTATGGAAATGTCTAGATACTGATCAATTTTTTTCGTTTCTGTCAAGGTATGATCCCTCAACCGGAATCTACGGTATGGATTTCTACGTGGTTCTGGAACGTCCAGGATACCGTGTGGCCCGTCGCCGGAGATGCAAGGCTCGTGTGGGAATCTGATTACTGTGAAATGGGTTCTGGTGCTGAATTTCTTGATGGAAAGATATCTAGATGCTGAACAAATTTCTATTGTATGGAAATGTCTAGATACTGATCAATTTTTTTCGTTTCTGTCAAGGTATGATCCCTCAACCGGAATCTACGGTATGGATTTCTACGTGGTTCTGGAACGTCCAGGATACCGTGTGGCCCGTCGCCGGAGAGGCAAGGCTCGTGTGGGAATCCAGCACAGAGTGACAAAGGAGGATGCCATGAAATGGTTCCAAGTCAAGTATGAAGGTGTTATCCTCAACAAGTCTCAGAACATCACTGGTTAAACTCGGTTTCCTTTTTCATTTTGCTCTTCTAGCTGTTGCCTGTTTTACTTTTTACTGAATCTGGATTTTAGAAAGCTCTGTTTTACTTTTTGTAACATCAGTTGGCTGAATCTCAAGTTTTTGAAAAAAGAACCAACTTTCTGGATTTATTGAAACCCTAGGAAGTAGACTTCACTTTGTAAAGGGGAAAGCTTTGGTTTCAAGATCAAATCAAGTGAAAAATTACTCTGAAGCCCACATGGAATCTCCACATGAAAAGAGGAAATATCAATTCTCGAATCTCAAATCCTTCAAAACATCTTCAAGTATACGTTTCTAAATACGACAGCAAACGTGTGAAAAGCTTGATCAGAGATCCATCCGTGCAGTGGCAAATCGCTGAATCCGAATTCTTGATTTAGCAATCGATGGCAATGCAGTTCTGAGCGATTGTGGCGGAATCTGGTCTGGCAACGAAGGGATTGATCCGAACCCAGACAAGGGAAAACACAGAAGCAAGCAGAACAGACCATAACACGACAATGGTCGGAGTTCTGTTCTGTCTCCCCATCAAACCTTTGAGGAATGGATAGAGATGGAGAATCACCCAGAACGCAAAGAACACTTTCCCGAACAACGGTCCCCATGCCTCGTACCCTTTGTTCAGAGCGTCAGAGAATCCGGCCACAACTCCGACCATGTTCACGATCAAAAGCGTGGTCGGAGGAATCAAGAGTGTCGTCCATTTCACGATGTAGAGTTCCCCAAACTCCAAGTCGTCGGCTGCTTTGGCCGTGACGGTGAAATTGGTGTCGAAACCGGCCAGCATCTTGAGAAGACCTTGGAAGACGGCAAAGAGATGGGCCGAGACGCCTCCGATGACCCAGAATTGCTCGTTTCTCCACAAATCTTCGATGCTTACGCCACTCCATCGCAACTCCAGAACGCTCGTGATGATGATGGAGAGGAAAAGGCCGAGGAAGAGCATGCTTGCCAGGTTCGACAGCTGTATAGAACACTTCCCAGATCAATGGAGTGCTCGGATGAAAGAATATACGGTATCAGTGACTGGAAACTTACAGTGGGGATGATGAATTTTCCGGTGAGAAGGCAAATGGCAGGTAAGGAGCAGTAAGCAATGAGGGGGAGAGAGGTGAAGGGATAGACAATGGTATTGATGTAAGCCAGTCTCTGGAGCCATTTGAGGCGGCCTCCTCCACATCCATACCAGAGTGGACAGTGTCTGCTAAGGAAAATCTCCACGGAACCAAGTGCCCACCGGAGAACTTGATGAAGCCTATCGGAGAGATTGATCGGGGCAGACCCTTTGAAAGCCGGCCTTAGTGGCATACAGTATATAGACCTCCATCCCCGACAATGCATCTTGAAACCCGTCAAGATGTCCTCTGTGACTGATCCGTATATCCAACCGATCTGGAAACAGAGATCATATGAATTTCAGATGAGTACCCTTTCAGTATAAGCTAAAGAAAGAGTAGATTCGGGGAAACTCACTTCTTTTCCCCACTCGGTCTTCTCTTCGTATCCACAGCTAATGACATGAATCGCCTCTTTGATGAGTGTCGATGGGTTTACGGATTCAGGGACACCTCCATTCTCCATCAGAGTAGACTCGATGAAAACCGAAGACAGACCGAATGTTTTCTCGAAGCTTGTCTGAGATATCAACATCGACCTCTCGTACTCATCGTAATCTGGAATCAGACATCCGAGAAAGTATCACTTAGTGTCCGGAATCCTGTACAACTATATATATTAGCGTAAAGCTGGAAAAAGAGAACGAAGAGCAACTCACTGTCGAGGTCTCTGAGGTTAAAGATGGCTGCATCAAGTTCTTCTCGCTTCGCATCTCTGTAAACTTCGGAAAGATCTTTGGTCGGTTTCTTCTTGGCCGGGCAGCAACACCATGAGCAAGACGAGGAAGATTCTGGTAAACTTCTCGGCTTAGATGGAGGACTGTAACCATAAAGTGCCTGTCTTCTGAAGACACAACCTGTCCCCACATACATCGGCCCTTGAATCCCATCGAGCCCCTTCATGTTAACCTGAAATCAAATTCGAAGAATTCGTAAAACCGAAAACCGTTTTTCATCTGTGGTTACCGAATCAAGAACGGGATTTTGATCTGTAGAGATAATTACATCGAAGAAAACTATGTTACGGTTGGCATATCGATCGCTTTTGTCAATTCCATCAAACCTCTGAGGGAACTGGACATAGCAGACATCCTGACCGACAACTGGATCCATCAGAAAGCACATTGCTTCACGTGCAGCCTTGCTGTTGTTGACGTAGTGATCACAGTCGAGGTTAAGGATGAACGGAGCATTCGTAAGAACAGCAGATACCCTCACCTACAATTACAAGAACAAAGAAAAAGTAATCGGGTTTGTGTTATATGTTAAGAGAAAAACGATTTAAACAGTCGTGAAGATTTTTGCACAGACCAAAGCATTCTCTGCCCCAGCCTTCTTGTGATGTTGATAGCCCGGTCTCTTCTCTCTCGAGACGTATACAAGCCGCGGAAGTTCATTTCCTTCGATGTCACGTGCCCCACTATGCCCGAGGAAAACCTATAACAAGAACAAAGATTCATACGAGCTACCATAAAAGCGCAACAAATCTCTTCTGAGATGTTTTTGAACGGAAGAAGATCATAGATGAAGGAAAATGAGTTCATTTCCCTAACTCGGCAGATTTTTTTCTCAAAATTGATGGGCAGACCTGAATCATCCCGGGGTGATCACGGGTATTGTTTCCTGGCCACGGCGTTCCATCTTGCATGGTCCATCCTTCTTCAGGTGTTTTCTGAGCCTTTGCAACTAAAGCGTTTATTCTGATCTTGAACTCTTCGTAATCTCTCTGGAACACATAGGAGAGAACGAATGAATCAGACAAAGATACACTCGATATCTCGGAAATTTCAACAGCTTATGAGCTCTCAAGCCTGCTTACTTTCATGGCTCTACGTTCTTTAACAAATGATGGCTGGACTTTGTCCTTTAAGTAATCGATCTTCTGTGAGAAGTAAAACTCGGGCGCTCGAGGCTCAATCGCGAATTTCTTGCAAAAGGGTACCCATTTCCTGGCGAAATCGGCTGTTTCGACCAGTGACTCGAATGAAAGCATGGCGGCACCATCATCAGATACATAGCAGGAGACTTTGTCCACCGGATAGTCCAATGCCAGGATGGAGAGCACTGTGTTTGATGTGATCAATGGAGGCTCCTTCAATGGGTCCACTGTACTAACAAAGAAGTCTACAGCTGCTAGCTCTGGGGGCTCGCCCGGTCTTTCGTACCTGAACAAGCGGCATATGATCCAACAAAACTTGTCTGAATAACCCGGGTTTCGAATCAACATGTAATAAGCAATAATTGTCTGAAAGATTTCTACCTTGCAGATAAGCGGTTTACATATGTTTCCCTGTTGATCGGATACCATTTAGGAAACTGATCCAATACCCAAGAGAAAGCAAACCAGATTTCGCATATCACAGACGTTATCCATAGCCCGAAAGCGCTGTTGACAGGATTTGTGAGACGATAGTGGAAGAACAAAGCCAGGATGATCAATCGGACAACGATGATAATCCTGTACGACGTAATCTTCGTCCTTTCGATCGGAATCACAACCGAAAGAGGCTCTGTGACCTCTGCATTCCTGAAAACAGAAACCAAGATCGCCGGATTAGGGGTTTTTGGCTATACAAAAACTTCCGGATTTATGATGAGTGTATCTCGATGAACATACGGCATATCTTCCATGTGTTGTTGGGGCGGAATCCGGGCCTCGTCTTCATCAGCCTTTGGCATTTCATCCTTTTTCTTCTTGCTCTTCTTCTCCTTCTTGTCTTTCCAGCTCTCGACTCTGTTCTTCCATATAGGGTTCCCGTATTCATCGTTCAATTCTTCACATACATACAATACAACCCCGAGTCAGCACAATCTCAAACTCTTACAGCAAAAACTTTTGCGCAAGCAGAACGTCTTCACATGTATTCGGCATCTAACCTTCTATATTTGGCATCTATCTACTGGTCTCAGTGACAAAAAAATGGTTGTGTTTCACAGATTACCCGAGAAAATGAAGCAGAGAATCGGGTTCTTACCACTGTCAACTGTGGAGACTGTGCTTACATGCCTTGCATGAATTCCAGAATCCTGAAACTGGAGAAATCCTCAATCAAGTTTAGACCCACTTGTAGCATTATCAAAGGGAGAGAGAGAATACTGGTCGTGGATGTAATGACTGAACCATACCCGAGGAGTGTTTTCAAGGTGAGTGGCTATGGCGGATCCGTTCCCCGACGTCTTTGTTTCAGCTTCATCCAGCAAGTTCTCTGAGAATGCCGAAGCCATTACTATCAAATTATGCTAAGCTACTTGTTCTTCTTCCCCGAATTTTATTTTGAAATTAAGAAAATTTCAAACGAGCAGAGTTAGAGAAGATTTTACCGTCATATGGATTTCCGCATCGCAAGCAGATTCGCCGTTCTTCCTTGATCTCGTACTCGAGACAGGCCCTGCAGATCGGGAAATTACACTCGTGGCACGCCATGAACAAGTCGCCATTAGCTCTCAAACCTATCTGCTCGCCGCACGTGCTGCAGATCGGAGCCCCCGACTGCATCATCTTTTTCTCGCTGATTCGGCGCAGGAACGGTAGAAAAATCCCTTATCGGGGTTTGAGATGTGGCGGGGTTACGAAGCTGTTCTGCCATGGAGGTTTTGTAAGAGGGGAAATAGAGGCGTCCGAGGGTTTGGTGGTTGGTGGAGATCGGAAGTTGGGAAGTTTCTGTCTCCGGCCTGGGGAAAGCTGACTGTGAATTCTGTTTGGTTGGCGAGAAAATTAACATTTTTTTTTTGCGGGAAAGTAAAGGAAAGTTTCAGTTGGGTCGCGCACATCTCTATTTTGCTTGCTTCCTAAGCATCGCCCCTGTGCCAAGTCACCATCAACTTTTTTTTGGACATTTTCGTGAAAAAAAAAATAAAAAAATAGCATCCCACTTTTATCATCGCTTCTGATCGAATTGAGAGATTCAGACCAAACCGAAATGACATTTTTCAGTTTCAAAGGATACAATAAACCGATGATTAGAGGGAGAAATAACCGGAAATTAGACTAAACCAAAATGACTAACCGGTATTCTCCCCCATGTTGAGTACAAAGGAATAAAAAAACTAAACTTTCCTTTGAAGTAACACTTAAAACGTCCAATTCCAGATTCTACATGGAAAAAGACAGCATATTTTCCCAGGTTTCCGTATCTTAAGAGACTGAATAAACCTTAACCACTCTAGTCGTATCGCATACAACGAGGTTCTCGGAATCAGACGGAGTAGTGCAGAGCCAATTCACCTGTTTAAAGGTTAGAAAAATGTCACAGATCGACAGACAAACATATCAAACGATATATTTGTCTGAATGAACAATGGAAGCTTTTTACCTTCTTTCTCAAGTTGATGTTCAGGTGGAGGAGTTCACTGTTCTTCCCGGCTCGGTCTGAATCAAGACATTTAAAGCAATCCCAAACCTTAACTGTCTTATCGTTGCCGCCTGAGATTACGAATCTGCCCTTTTCTCGGAACAGGGAAAACGCCACGCAGGAAACTGCAGCACTGTGTCCACCTACAGAGTAATCGAGATGAACCCTTCTCTTCCCATTCTGATTTGAAGACTCTGAATTTCTTTTTGATGTCGATGCAGCTCCTTTCCGGGGACGGGTGGAAGAAGAAGCCTTTGATTTGATATCATTAAGTTCTGACTCGATATTGATCAAGTCTACAACACCATCACCCCTAGCCACCACACATATTTTGTCGAGTTTATCGAGCATATCGACCTCCGGGATCGCTACTGAGTGGACAAATGCAGGGTTTAGACACTGTCCTGAATGTGTATCGGAGCCTGAGGTGTCAAAAATGGCAGCCAAAACATATCATTCAGGGGATTGATAAGGAAAAGATATATGTAAACGGATTGAGTTAAGCTTATGACAGTTATAGAAGCAAAATGCTCACCAAAATCCACAATCTTTTGAGGCCGACCTTTCGAGAAATCCCACATAACAAGTTTTGAGTCAAGCCCTCCGGTTATAACTGTAAAAATCAAACAAGTTTAGAATACTACCGAGGATGCAAAGTCTTCTGCTCGGCGGAAAAGAGCTGGTGGCGGATTGTGCGATATCATTTAGGTAACGGCGTTTTTCTGTGAACAGAGGAAGCATAACTACACACCAATTACCTTCCCATGGTCTCCAGGGGATAAATTGCACAGTACTGCATATCTTAAACATGGCATTAAGGCAAAACCGAAATTTGTAGTTTGCAGAGTTCCCGAAAGCATCAAGTTAGAACAAAGTATCAAATACAAGTAGAATCACTATCTTCCATGATTAGAGAAAGGAGGATATGACTTGACTTTCCAATGAACCAAAAAAAATAATATTAGGCACGCATTAAGACATAAGCAGGGAGGGGAGGATACACTTGTATGACCAGCTCTGAGGGTTTTATACAGGCATTTCTGACCAACGTCGATGATCTGTTTGTGAATATTATTAGTTCCTCAGCCACCAGTGATTTAATTGGAAATAAAGACTAAATCTTGTCTGAAATATACGTAATCTTTAAAGTCATGTAAAACGCATCTTAGCAGCAAAAGGACAATTTCACAAGAGAATGCCAAAACAGTCACGCCTCCAAATATCCAAATCGGCTCTATTAAGGAACAAAGATGAGATACCTTAACATCACCAGCATCATCTGCTGATGCAACAAACGATGATTTCCCGTTGCAAACGACCTGATCAATCAAGAAGCAAGTGTGACTAGAGAAAAAAAAAATTGTTCCTCTCGAAAGGGTTCAATACCAGAAAGTTGAAAAATCGGAAAATTTTCAGAGAGTTGAAAAATTGAGGATTCGATAAAAGAAGGTACCTGGTTTATTTCATCTTTGTTGTAACTGTAACATTCCAATGGCTTCCATGAAGCAGCATCCATCTGTGAAATGAGAGAGGGACGCTTCACAAAAAGACATCTATATACATAAACCATGCCTAATCCGGACATAAGATACAATTGCAACAAGCAATTTCTAGTAATTGCGGATGGATTATACCGCTTGAACATCGAAACACTTGATCTCATTTCCAGAAGAAACATACAGAACATTCTCGTTTCCTGAATCAAACAAATATCGTGGATTAATTTGTTTTCAAATTATTCAAGTGTATCTGCCAAATGCAACTGCGTAAACTGAGGGACAAGAGACCAAAACCTGTCTTGAAACAAAGAGATGAAACTGGTTCTGTCCCAACATCCATGATGAATTGCACGTCTTTGCATCGCAAATCGAACCAACAAACGCAGCCATCCTACCATCTTCCAAATCGTTAAAAGAAGAAAAAAAATAAGAATGGAACAAGAAGACAATATACTTCAAAACCCTTCTTCTGGTCGGTGTTCGTATACTAAATTTCTACTAATAAATCCTAATTCTTCGAATCTGTGGCGTTCAGAAACCAAAAGATAACCGAAATGTGTGTGTGAGATAGAGACACCTCGCCGGAGGTGACGACGAGCCCGGGGCGGTCACGAGAAGCTATGCAACAAGTAGCAGTAGCTTTGTGGCCTCTCAGCTTCCTTGGCTCCGCCATGGCCGTCAACGCGAGCTTTTCCGGCTAGGGTTTCGGACGCTTCCGAAGTATGCAGTCGGCGAAATTCATACATGTGATAAATCTAAAAGCCCTCTAAAGACATATTTGCAGTATCCGTAACTGTAAAAAAGAAATTTTTATATTAGTTGAATTAAATTCTGTTCAGGAGAGACTCTGTTTCATCCAGAGGGTCACATTGAAAAATGTTGCATTGCAACACTAGAGGCCTAACCCAATGGACCAGATATAACTTCTGTGGCCCATATAGTGTTTCTTCTTCGTAAAGCCCATATAGTTTAGGACAGCCCATATATTTCTAAACTTTGGCATGTACATTTCACATAAATACATACACCTATTATATGCATTTTCACTTGTATATTTCCCCAAACATATACGTATAGCAACATATATAGGTGTACTGTGTATATTTCTGGCAAAAAAAAATTAAAAATGTTGCCGTTTGTATGGATTATCTTATCTGTAGTGCATCATTGTGCAAATGTCAAAGGGACACCGACAATATTATTATTATAGTTATTATTATATAATAAATGGAGATACGATTTATACTTTTTTGTTCGTTTACGTTGGAATCATAATGTGTAAAAAAAAATATACACAAGGATCTCAATAATGTGTACCCCCAAAAAGTGCAATCATGGTTATCATTTAATATACCAGAAACTATAATGCATATATATATATATATATATATATATATATCTGTGTGTGTATATATTCTAATATTACAATTTCCATATTCAATAACAAGAAGAAGGCAACAAAGCCTTTGGAGATGCGATGCTCCTCCCCACTCATCCTCCATTATTTGACACGAAATGAAATCCATAGAATTTTGTCATCACCTTTAAATTCCACATCAAAAAAACTTTTTTTCCCCCTTTATTTGGACCCCTCCAAACAAAATTCCATATACCTTTTTCTTTTTTCTTTTCATCTTTTTAATAATGTCTGAATCTCCATCTCCATCTTCATCGTGTTCGCCGCCATTGTCACCAGTCGTGGTTCAGCATGTGCCGAAGACAGTCTCAGACAGACTTCTGAGCAAGTTCTTGGACGTGTCTGAATTCGATTTCGATCGCGGGCAGAGCGCGATCTGGTCTCCCCCGTTCCAAAGGACCGCCTTTCTTACGTCCCAAGGCAAGATTTTCACCGATCGAGAAATGATTCGGAAGTTGCAGGATCTTGCGGAAACTCGTCGGGTCAGAAGGTACCATCTTTCTTGCTGCCTACGAGCATCTTTAGGGGTAGATTCTGATGTGCCATGACGTACATTGTGCATACATATGTATCTCTACAATCATCTTGATCTGTTCTTATGTTAGTAAATTTCTCGGTTTCACAGTCAAGAACATCAAGTGGCCAATGTCTTCCTTATGTAAGTAACACTACAAGTATACCTTATATCGGAGATGGCGGCAGTCCATTAACAAACATATACATGCACCGTTTTTCAAAACTCTACCAAAGTATCGACCTTGCAGTTCAAGAACAGCTGCTATAGATAGATCTGCATGCTAGCATCACTTCTTTCATTGAATGTCTGCTGTTCAATCAAAACTGGAACAAAGGAACAGAGACTAGAGCAAAAAGGAAAACTGGTGCAGGCCCATAGGGCCGATATTAATAGCCCATTTAAAAAGTGACATGACCAAGCAAAAAGCAACAACATATGCGTCTGCCGGGAGTCGAACCCGGGTCTATTGCTTGGAAGGCAATTATCCTAACCGTTGGACTACAGACGCTTACGAGTTTTATAAAATTTTTATTATAACATAATTAACATTATTTTCAAAATTAAATATTTTATAAAATATATTTGCAATTGGAGCGTTGAAAAAAAAGTCCAATTTACAGAGAAAATAATGAGATGTAGTTCGTCTAACCAATGCACAATTTCCCCCGGTGTTGTTGCCTCCCAACCTACAGTTAAAAAGTTCTATCCCCATGCGTTTGGTCCAAACAAGGGTATCATATTTGATGCTTTAAAACAAATATCTCTATCAATTCATCTAAGCATGAAACTACATAATACATATATATACCCAAAGGATTACAACAAACCCTAAGGTGACGTGATATACCGAATCATGCCCTTTTATCCCGTATCTATTGGACCATCTAATGTTTTCCTTACGCGTCTTTTGATACAGATATATTCATATTCATATACGTGTGTGTGTGCGTGCGCGTATCTCTGTGTGTGTATCTATGTGTATGGTCCCACTGCTGACAGAGAAGGGAAGTCTGAAAATTTTGTAGGATGTGGTTTGTTTATATCTTTAATGTTGCATGTACCAATGTACCTCACCAAAGAGACGTGACACTAATATAACACGGACAAATAACTGGTATTTTTTTTATCAATCATTGTTTCAGAATTTGACAATCGAATGCCCACAAGTTTTTTTTTCCCTTGGCAATTTTGGGAGGTTTTCTAAGATTTTAAAAAATATATAAAATCTTAATATAAATTAATTATAAAAATAAAAAACCAGTTTTTGAATAAAAAGTCTATTTTCCGTAGTTTTTTTCGGTAAACTATTATTTTTTTCCATAGTTTTTTTTTATAACGGAGGACCCTATCTGCTATCATTCGAGAGTGTGCTTAGGGGTGACCAATTCGGGTTTCGGTTTGGGTTCGGTTTGGTTATATTCGGGTTCGGTTATAGAAAAACTATAACCATTCGGTTTTTATATAAATTCCGGTTCGGTTCGGTTCGGTTATTTTTCGGTTCGGATTCGGTTCGGTTTTGGTAAAAAGTTCAATTTTTCAAAGAAAATATCGGTTATTCTCTCGGTTTTTTCGGTTATTTTTTATTCGGTTCGGTTCGGTTTCGGTTTCGGTTTTTCGGGTTTAAGTAAATCATAACTGTTCGGTTTTGATGTCGGGTTCGGTTCGAATACGGTTATGTCTTATTCGGCTCGGTTATTCGGTTAATAACCGAAATGGCCACCCCTAAGTGTGCTGACTAGGTAAACCTTCGGTCCGGTAGCAGCCTTTGTATATGGATCATTTAAACCCAGAAATTACCTCCCTTCCCACCAGCCAAGAATCGAACACTTAACCTCAAGCTGGAGTTACCTCCTACTCCAAGCTTGACCACTCGCTCACGATCTGGTGGGTTATTTTTTCCATAGTTTATTTGAACCTTTAGAATATTTAGTGACTATAGAGATGAGATGCGAGGTCGAGAAAGATCCGAGGAACAATTGATCTTACCCGCAGCCGATGTGCCTACCGCACGAGGCCGCGGGCCGAGATCTCGACAGCGGAAGGAGCGAGAAAACACGGACGGTGAGCAAAACCCTCTTGTTCGAACCCAGGGAGCGAGGTTTGGTACTTAATCAACAATTCAAAGCACCGATGATTTGTATTTGATATAACCGGAACAGGCTTTATTTGATATGTTCGATGATTAAGCCCTCACCAAATAACGAACAGACAGACAGACAAAGTTCGTGGAACCAAGAACGAGAAGACGCGAACAGATCACTTTCTGGAGATTCTGAACGCAAACCACTTTGGAACTGGTTTTTTCTTTTCGTTCCTTTCGCGTAGAAATTAAATTACAATTTAATACAACAGAAACTGTGTTGGCATTTTATCATCTACTTTATCTTCAATGGCATTAATTTCGGTACGGTATGATCCGATTCTATGATCTATTTTACCAAAAAGATTAATTTCCTAAACATATTTTCGTTAAATATCAAAACTCCTACGTGCATGATGGTGAAGTAGACCAGCCCTGATTTCTTGATATTATATATTTTAAAAAATTATAAAATTATGTCTTTTTTTTTTTAATCTAGAATGTGCATGTTATACCGGGAGTTCCCACTTTCTTTTCGGACCAACTGTCAATTTCAAGGGCCTCCACCAAATATATACATTAATTTATATAATGTATACATTTAACTTGTGTCTGCATGTGAGCCAGTTTATTATGATATGTTAAATTATTCGTTTTAGTACATTTACTTCTTATATATATATATATATGAGACATGTATTATATCATCCGCAAATTAGTTTATAAATATTATGCTGGAAATTTCCGTTTGGATAATAAAATTCGACAATATTGTAGAGTAAAAAAACAAAAGAGACTACGGTTTTGAATGGTATTGGTTTTTATTTTGGGTTTTTAGTTTTAGTTTTTTGTTTTTAGTTTTTGGCTTTTAGATTCTGAAAGTTGATAAATCTAAAAAAAGGTAGTTTTTAGTTTTTAGTTGATTTTTTTCGTAAAGTAGATTTCTGGGTTTTTAGAAATATTAAATTTCAAAAAATTTGATTATCGGTTTTTTCACTTTTTGAAATCCAAAAACTTCGAAAACAACTTATCATTCAACATCTAAAATTAAAGCACCTAAAATTAAAGCTTTCGGTGGATGAAGTCAGAATTTATTATTTTATTTTAAAAAAAAATTCCGGTAAACCATTTTCTTTAAAAAAATCACGTTATTCTAGATAAAAAAAAAATTCCAAAATAATCCAAGCAAAAAACGGTAATTGGGGCTTGGGCGGAAGATTACAAAGCGTGGACCGTCGATTACTTTGTAATATATTAGCTATCATTTCGACAAAGGACTTTTATAAATTCGATTGCGTATGACCAATCATCATTGTAAATGTGTCTGAGTGGGTTTTTTAATTAATAAATAAATAATAATTAGCGAAGAGTCGTGACTCGTAGATTCGGCGCATCTAGGGGTGGCCATTTCGGGTTTCAGTTCGGTTTTCGGTTCGGTTATTTCGGGTTCGGTTATTTCGGTTATAAAAAAATCATACCCAGACGGTTATATAGATTTAATCGATTCGGTTCAGTTCGGTTTCGGTTCGGTTCGGCTCGGTTTTTGCATAATAAATTTATAACCAAACGGATATATTTTTCGGTTTATTCGGTTCGGTTTTAGATCGGTTCGGTTCGGTTATGATATATTTTTAAAAAAAAATTTATTAATCCTACATAAATTTCAAAATATCTATTTAAATAAATGCACAAAATGATTAATCATGTAAAATAAAATTATAAAAAAACTAAAAACTTCAATAATTAGGATAAAAGTTAAAAACATTATATTTTATAGTTTATTGGGTGAAATATATAAGGTTAAAAGTGAAGTATAAAAAATAATACTAATAATAATGAGGATAAAAATTAAAATATTAAAAAAAAACTCAATAACCGTTCGGTTAACCGCGGTTATTCGGTTATTAATCGAACCGAACCGAACCCGAACGGTTATTCAACTTTCTCAACCGTTCGGTTATTAAGCAAATAACCGAACCGAACCGAACCGTTCTTATTCGGTTCGGTTCGGTTATTCGGTTAATAACCGAAATGGCCACTCCCAGTCACGTGACCCACCCGATTAACGGTCATGATTAGGTTAGACGTCGACCATTTCTGGGTCCCACGTATTACCTGTCATCGCTCCCGCTATCTATCTATGCCACGATAACCTGGAGCGCTAAATTAACCAACCAATTAATGGATTTAATCCAGAACATCTCATTCTTAAAACAAATCTAGTGTTGAAAAAAATAAGAAAATGAAAAAAAACTAATTTGTCCTAATCACTATGTTTATAAAACGAGAACTGTACGTAATTTACATACAGAAAATTAATCACGATTTGAAATTTTCATCATTACGTAGATAATCTAATTAAACGACCTACTACTTGACGGTAAAACCGAGGAATAAAACCATTAAAGCAACGATGATTAACGTCTAATTAAATTAAGGAATATATTAATCGAATAACATTTGAACGGGAAAAAAATGGAATTCCTTCTAGTCCGGGAACGGCATCGTTTTATACTCACATTCAAACACGGGTTATCACTTCAGGAAATAAAGCGTCACAGTGGCATTTTCGTAGATTGCTACACACTCCAAGAATACTTTCGTCTTTTCAACTCCCGTCCTTACTTTTATTCATGTATTCCAGCGGGGACTCGAAGGGCAGAATTTCCACGAGAAGGGAAGGGGAGAAAAATACCGCCAAAACCTTCTTACCGGAGAAATCGTTTCTCTATGAACTGAAAACCCTGAAAACAACGCCGTTTTCAATATCCGGCGATCTGGAAATGATGTCGGGGACGAGGACGCCGACGTGGAAGGAGAGGGAGAACAACAAGCGGCGGGAGCGGCGGAGGAGAGCGATCGCGGCGAAGATCTTCGCCGGACTTCGGATGTACGGAAAATACAGGCTCCCAAAACACTGCGACAACAACGAAGTCCTCAAAGCGCTCTGCAGTGAAGCCGGTTGGATCGTCGAAGAAGACGGTACGACTTACCGGAAGGTAAAAGATAAAATGGAAAACCCTCCTTGGATTTCATCTTCTTGCACGGTTCACGCATCAATCATCGATTCAACTGCTACTAGCTAGATCTGACGATCGTTCGAGTCTTTGTTTCCCTAAAAGAAATCGGACGGTTGCGATTTTGTTTCGGTCACCGGCTCCAATGGTGGTCGGCAGATCGCAACCGGCTCCGGCGAACTGAGAAGCGTGAGGCTTAAGATCCGGTGATCCTTCGACGGAAGATCACTCTGAATATTTTAGTGATTGTCCGAAATGATTACACTTTTGCCAAATGGTATAATACCTAATGATGCTTGCGGGATCGCCTCTTTGACCACCCAAATGCCATAGAAATCATTCTTCCTACTTTTTTCAGTATCCCTACCATTGGGATTCTCGATCATGGTATGCAATTGGAACCAGTGAGGGCATGGTTTTGGGGTTTGCATTAGGACTATGCCGACCTGAGTCTATGTATGTTTAGTTTCTACTTGATGGGAATAATCCATTTGAATACTTCCATGGTCATGGTTCCCCCATCCCAATGGAAAATGTCAGGTTTCGTTGTTGTCAATATCTTATACTCGCATATATATATATACACACTCCTTGCAGGGATGCAAACCCGTGGATCGAATCGATATCATGGGTGGCTCTACATCTGCGAGCCCTTGCTCTTCCTATCAACCGAGCCCTTCATCTTCATCTTTCCCGAGCCCCAACCCGTTTGGTGATGCCAACTCACTGATTCCATGGCTCAAGAACCTCTCCTCCAACTCCCCATCACCTCCGATGGCTCGAACCCCTACCTGTTATCAAGAAACCATCCCTGACTCTGGATGGCCCTCGGGGATGCAGACGCCGCAGAGCGGTCCCTCCTCTCCGACGTTCAGCTTAGTCTCTGGTAAGCCGTGGTTCGAGAAAGAGGCTTTTAAGGACAGAGAGTGTTCTCCAATGTGGACACCAGGGCAGAGCGGGGACTGCTCTCCGGCCATTTCTGCT